TAAAGTCAGAAGGAATGTTTGAAGTAGTTAAATCTATGTTTATTTAAATATTTTATTTATTTATTTATTTATTTATTTATTTTGGTTTTTTGAGACAGGGTTTCTCTGTGTAGTTTTGGTGCCTGTCCTGGATCTTGTTCTGTTAGACCAGGCTGGCCTTGAACTCACAGAGATCCCAATTGCTGTGATTAAAGGCGTGCGCCACTGCCACCCAGCCCATTTATTTAACATCTAAATGACTCTGTGTAGGTGGTGTGTGTGTAAGCACAGATGCACACACACTGCTGCAAGCAAGTGGAGGCCAAAGAACAACTTTCGAGAGGTGGTTTTCTTTCTCCTGCCATCGGATGTGGGGATTGAACTCAGCCTGCCAGGCTTTACAGTGAGTACACACAGCTTCTACACACCAGCGTTTACACACAGCTTCTACACACCCCAGCTTGCCTTCCTACATTTGTTGTTCCAGCTCCCCTCTTTAGACTCACTATGTAGTCCTGAAACTTGCTATGTAGAACAGGCTGGCTTCAAATTCACAGATAATCACTGTGGAATAATCCTCTTGTACACTGTAAAGATTTGTCACTCGAATTGGTTTAATAAAATGCTGGTCAGCCAGTAGCCAGGCAGGAAGTGTAGGCAGAGTGGAGTCAGGAGCCACCAGCCAGATGCAGAGGAAGCAAGATGAGAATGCCACACTGAGAAAAGGTACCAAGCCACATGGCTAAACATAGATAAGAATTATGGGTTAATTTAAGTGTAAGAACTAGTTAATGATAAGCCTGAGCTACCGGCCAAGCATTTATAATTAATATAAGCCTCTGTGTGATAATTTGGGAAGTGGCTGCCAGGTATGTGGGAACAAACGAGCAGGAGAGAAACGTCTGTTTACAGACAAGGACAACTCGTTCCTCAATACACCCTTTATTTTGTTTCCCTTTCCCCTCCACTTCCCCTCCCCCCACTGTGTGGAAACATAACTAAGACAATCCCTAGGCTGCGGATATAGCTCAAAGGTAGAGCCCTTGCTATGAATGACACTGAAAACTAAATTCTCTGAGACATTCCTGGAAGGAAGGAAGCCATCTTCCTGAGAGCCCTACCAAGACCACCTGGGCCAGGAAGAGATCTTGTACTCCACATGTTTGTAACATCTGTTTGAGACAGGCTCACATCACACCTCCAGCCTTTGCTCTTACGATGTAATAAAGTCTAGCCTCTTGCCCCTGGCTGTCAGCACGCAGGCTGCTCAATCCTGGAGTTATGATAAAAGACCATAAACCATCAGGCAGCCTTCACCTAAGAGCCCAAGAAGCCAAAAAGTCCCCCAAATGGGTGGACACTGTCTTGCTGGCCAAATATAAAGAGTTTGCTCCCTATGATGAGAACAGGTTCTACACGTGTGCTGTTTTTGCAGCCCAGCATCTGTGTGTCAAGAGCACTGCAGGGCTTTGGCACCATGACCAAGACCGATGAAGGACATAGAGAAACGCTGTCAAGCCTGGCCATTCCAAGCAGCCGCTCTAAGACTGGGTCTTCCAAGCCCTGAAGAGGTGGAAAATGGCAGAAAGGGACCATGATGGGGTGACACACTAACACCCCAGGTGAAAAAATGGCAGAATTGTCAGACAGGTGGCAGCTGCCAACAAGAAGCACTAGAGCAAGCCACCATGGTAGCACACACCTTTAATCCCAGCACTCAGGAGATGGGGCAGGCAGACCTCTGTGAGTTCAAGGCTAGCCTGGCCAACAGAGTAAGTTCAAGGACATCCAGGGCTACACATAGAAACCCTGTCTCAGGGTTTAAAAAAAGCACTAGAACAAAGGATTCTGGGTCTATAAATTCCCTCATTCAAAACAAGTACATATAATGGAGTCTAATGTTGTCTTCTGAGGAGAGCTGGGAAGTAAGTTAACATTCAAGCTTCTCCTGAACTGACTGTTCTGCTGGCTGAAACTAAAAAGCCCCAGGTAACTGCATTCAGATCTCCAAGCAGAAAAGGTGGGTGCTTTGCCAAGCATTGGTTACATCACCTGTAGATTTTAGGCAACCAGATCCAGGGAGGATCCTGATCCCCGCAGAGCACCTGATATAACCATTCAACGCTGAGTGTGTTCATACGTTTGTAAGCCTCACGTGTGAACATCTCCAGCTTCACAAAACCCGGTTCTCCATGCCTTTTCTGTCAACTCTCCCCTAAGGCAAGACATAGGAAGAGGTGGCGATCCGAACGATGCTCAGCAAAACCGCTCAGTGTAGTCCAAGTGGCAGACCTGTAGAATCCCATCCCAGTTGTGCTCACAAAGAATGCAGAACCGTGGGGCTCCTGGGGCCTAGGGCTTGGATTGCAGTCACATTTCTCTCTGCAGAGTTTAAAAGTAATGTGGCTGGATCACAAGAGACAAGGATGCTATGACCCAGATCTTGTGCTTACGGAGCTAAGCTCACAAAAGTCCACCCACTTTTGTCTGGCACTGGGTGGAGCTAGAGACCCCAAAGTCTAGGAAGGGCCTCTTAGGAGACATTATGTTAAATTACAATGTGAGTTTCCTTGGGGCTACGAGGTCTCGCAGAGGACCTGAGTTGGGTTCTCAGCACTTCTGTCAGACTACTCACAACCACGTGCAACTCCACCTCCAGGGGAACCTACTGCCCTCTTCTGGTCTCCAGTTTCAACTGCACTCAGACAAAAGCACATAATTAAAATTAAAAATAAGTCTGTGGGGGGAAAAGGCTAGACTCCCAGAATTAGCTTTGCTAGTAACAATTACCTATCTAAACTGTTTCTTCCGAAAAAACTAGGGAGCCAAAAACAACTAGTGGTGCCTGCCTTTAATCCCAGCACTCGGGAGGCAGAGGCAGGTGTATCTCTGAGTTCGAGGCCAGCCTGGTCTACAGAGTGAGTTCCAGGATGGCCAGGGCAACACAGTGAAACTGTCTTAGGGTTTCTATTGCTGTGAAGAGACACCATGACTACAGGAACTCTTATAAAGGAAAACATTTAGTTGAGATGGTGGCTTACAGTTTCAGAGGTTTAGTCCTTTATCATCATGGTGGGGAGCATGGCCGTGTGCAGGCAGACATGGTGCTGGCTACACATCTTGATGAGAAGTAACAGGAAGTGGACTAAAACACTAGGTGGTATTTTAAGCATATATTAGACCTCAAAGCCTTCCTCCGCAGTGACCAGTGACGCACTTCCTCCAGCAAGACCACACCCGCTCCAACAAGGCCACACCTCTTAATAGTGCTATTCCCTTTGGGGGCCATTTTCTTTCAAACCATCATAGAAACCCTGTCTCAAAAAAGAAAAAAAAAAATGGAGTGAACTCAGCCTTCAAACATACTGAATTTGTCACTGGGTTTTTAAAAATAGGTATCTTATTTTTTTTTAAATTTTTATTTTATGTTCATTAGAGTTTTTAATGCATACATAAATGTGTGAGGGTGTCAGATCACCTAGAACTGGAGTTATAGACAGGTGTGAGCTGCCATGTGGGTGCTGGGAATTGAACCCAGGTCCTCTGGAAGAACAGTCGGTGCTATTAGCTGCTGAGCCATCTCTCCAGCCCCTGACACAATGGTTGTTTTGTTTGCTCGTTGGTTTTGTTTTTTGATTTTTTTTTTATTTTATTTTATGAGACAGGGTTTCTCTGTGTAGCTTTGTGCCTTTCCTGGAACTCACTCTGTAGACCAGGCTGGCCTCGAACTCACAGAGATCCTCCTGTCTCTGCCTCCTAAGTACTGTAATTAAAGGACTGTGCCACAGCCGGGCGGTGGTGGTGCACGCCTTTAATCCCAGCACTTGGGAGGCAGAG